TTGAAAACATAAGAACATACAATTTACCAGGGCTGGCTGTGGGAGCAGCACACGCTTCTCACCTGTATGAATAGGTAGAACTTCGGGATCGGCTTCTCGAGTGACTGTAGGATATGGACCTCGTTCTGTGTCTGGATTTAGACTCAGATTTACTTCGTGACCTGCTGAGACTCCTGGAAGGGCTGTTGTCATCTCTGCTTGGAGATTCCTCCTCACTGGAACTTTCTTGGTTCCTTGGCCGACGATTTAGCCGGGCTGTTTTCCTCACTTCATCAAAGAGAGACCCAGGCCTTACTTTATTTTTTGCTTTGATTTCAATTCTTAAACCTGCTGGTTTAGGCTCCGGTGCCGATGCTACATTTTTAACCTCTGTGGTTGTACTAATTGTTGTTGGTTTTAAGTTACCAACACCTTGCAAAGGCTTCCATTTATTGTCTATCATATTGCTTGATGCATTTTCAGAAATTTCACTTTTTAAACTACAGTCTTTAGCACCAGACACAGGAGCAGAGTTATTTTCTTGCCTTCCAGTTTCTTTTTCTTCTTTAATATTAATAAAGTCTCTTATGCTGTTTCCCAGTTTGACAGCATCTTGCTCAGGTGTCTCAACCTGTAACTCTTTTTTTACAGCAGCACTTAAAGGTTTAGCAGTGAGAATGACAGGAGACAAAACATCCACATCCACCTTCCCTGGCGAGTTACGATCCGGAGTACAAATCTCCATGTTGTCATCTGTCTGAATAACATCTTCCAGCCCATTCTGGTTATTTTCTTCAGCTTGTTTAATCTCACTCTTGCAAGCAGCCACGTTTATTCCTGAGTTTAAAATACCAGTTGAAGTGCTTGTTTCAATGGGCTCTTTATTAAGGTTGCTGCGATCTGGCGAGGCCCCACATGAGGTGTTTTTATCTAAAAGGTTTTCATTCACACACGACTTTTCACCATTTCCCATTTTATCTGTGACTATTTCATCCTTTTCATAAACTTGTTTTTTATCCTTTATGTCCCTGCTAAGCTGCTTTTCTTTTTTATCATCCTTGGTAACTGGCTTTTCATTTATCTCATCATCCTCTTCTTCCCCGAACTCAAGGGGGGGCTGCCAATGAAACATTTCTTTTCTTTTCTGGACTTTGTGTTTTTTGTCCTTTTTGCCTTTCGATTTTTCTTTTGCTTTTTTGGAATGTGATTTTTTAGGAGTCTTTTTCAACCCATGTTTGTGTTTTTTCAACTTGCCTCGAGTGTCTGCTGAGCTGGAACAAGAACTCTCAGATTCAGAAGTTGACAAGTGTTTGCTTGTCTTCCACACGCAGTCAGAACCCAAAAAGCCCTCTGAGGAATTGGATTGTTTTTTTATCCTTTTGGTAACACTAAGCTCTGTGTCAGACCCTGAGGTGGCCTCTCCTTCTTCTTTCCCAGAGGAGGGTCTGGAATCCCCTCTATTATGCTTTGCCTCTCCTCTTTCAGAGTTTGACTCCGAGTCCCATTTGCTACCTGAGTAGGATTTGCGTTTTGTTTTTGCACCACCTCTGGGCTGCTCTGAGCATTTCTCCTTAGCAGCTTTCTTTTTGGAGTGATCAGAATCCCGCTCACCCTTGGCTTTCTCCTCCCCTCTCTCAGAACTTAAGCTATTTTTATCCTGTTTCTCAGCATCCCCTTCTAACAGAAAGCGGCCTTCTTTTTCTTGGACCGCTTTGGCTTTGGCAGAGCGCTCGCTGTCGGAGGATAAGTCTGAGGATGACAAACTGTCACTCTCCTTCAACCCTTGGGAAGACTCATCGTAGTCCTTTGGATGCTTGTAAGGCAAAGTGCTATCTGAGCTCGTTTCCTGCCTCAGTTTGAGGCCCCGAGCTTTGGGATCGCTGGATGTGGGTTTCCTTTTGTTCCTGTGCCTGTCCTCCTCGCTGAGGGAATAGTCGGACGTGGACTCGCTGTACCCCGACCTGTCACTGCGGTATTTACTCGGGGACGGTGACCTGCCAGAGGAAGGAGATTTTGTCCTCGAGCTCGATGGGCTCCTAGACCTTGAGTAAGATCTTGAGTAGGAGCGGCTTCGAGAGGACCTGCTCCTGGACCTCGGCCAGCTCTCCGAGCTCCTGTCGCTGCGGCCTTTGGAATAACCGCTCCGATCGCTCTCGGAGCTCCTCTCCTGCTTGCGGTACGAGGAAGAAGTGTTGGGCTCCTTAACGACCACTAAATTGTAATTAGTTTGGGTGGGAATTAAGTGGGTTGTTTTAGCTTTCATCTCCTGAATTCGCTCATACGATGGCTTCCAAGGTTTCTGCCCAGGTTTCCACCTTGAAGGTGGGGGACTGTCACTTAAGGGTATGACAGGGAGGCTTTCTGGGACAACTGGTGGCACGATAACCTTGTCACTGGGCAGTATCACTGCTCGGACAGGCTCAGCAGTCTTGGTCAGCTTAGTGTCATTTAACCGTGCTGAAATATTTCGTGGAGAACTGGGAACAGTCTTTTGCTGCCTGGGGTTAGAACTTGACCGCGACCTACTTCGAGATCGCGATGATTTAGAGGCTGATCTTGATCTAGAACTTCTTCTGGAGTAAGATCTTGATTTAGATCGAGACCTGGATCTGGACCTGTAGTACGATCGAGACCCTCTGCTGGATAAAGATGACAAGCTCTGGTCTTCCTTATCAGATTTAGACCAGTCTCTCCTGGATGAACGCCTGGAAGACAATGAGGAAGAACGAGATTTCCTCTCACGATCACAAGATGGTTTTGTCCTCCTGTGGAAGGAATGAGAGGATTCTACATCTGATGAGGCTGATGTTTTCTTTTTCTTTGTTTGCTTGTGCTTCTTGAAATGCTTCTGCTTTTTAGATTTCTTTTTATGCTTCACCTTCTTCTTCTCTTTCCTGTGCTTCTTGTGATGGCTGGAGTATCTCACAGTGCTCAGATCAGCATAACCGTTATGGGACCAAGACCTGGATCTCCGGGATGCACTCCTCTCATCCCACCTGCTGGTACAGGGGTCACTCAACCTGGAAAACAAACAAAGAAACCCCAGACTAAGTGCAAAATCTTTAAAAACCTTTGGATAAAGTAGGTATTTTTAAACTTAACTTTAAATAAGATTACACAAACCCTAGCGCACACACTTTTAAAATGTGAGAATTGCTTTGAGTTCCTTACACTCATTTTAAGACGTAGAATTGCACTACTATCAAGAGCTACTTCTCCCTAAGAAATAAATCAGCCAACACAAGCAAGTTTCCCATATTTCAGGACCCATGTAAAGAGATTTAAAGTTTTAATTACCTCAGTCTGTAGGACTTTGACCTCCACAAAACAGGCTCCTTAAGCCACACTTAAATACAAGTTTTAAAACATCTCAGTACATAAAAAAGAATAACCTGAAACGTTTGCAATTATGCACTACTAGTCACATATAATATTTTTAAATTTTCCTTTTAAGATTTATGTCCTGTAATTTGATAGAAGCTCATATTTAGTATCAAGCCATCAGGAATTCTGGAGAGCTGACTTCCATCCATCACACAGTTTGCAATTGCTGAAAGAACATACAACTAAAATAATAGAGGCTTAGTGAATTTGATTGTTTTACTCCAAAGAAACCATGTATTCCACTTTGAGGAGAAGGAATCCTTAAGGATCCATCTCCTCAAAGAGGATCACTGAATCCTTAAGGCTGGAAAAGATCTTAAAGATATCACCAAGTCCCACCACCTGGTTAGCACTAAACCATGTCCTCAGGTACCACATCCACGTTTTCTGAGCACTTCCAGAGATGGTGGCTCCATACTACCCTGGGCAGCCTGCTCCAGTGTTTTCTGTGAAAAAAATAATTTCCTAATATCCAATCTAAACCTCCCCTGGCACAACATGAGGCCGTTTCCTGTCATCCTGGTACTGCCGTGGTTACATCTACACAACCAATGAGGGCTTGCCAAAGGCCAGGACATCTCAGAGCTGTGCTGAGGCTCTTACTTGTCTCCTTTGCTCCACTTCTCCCCGCTGGGTGCTCGGTACGTCCGCAGCCTCTGCATCTCCTCCTTCCAGTGGGGAGGGGTCTCGCTGCTCTCCTCATCGTCCGACTCGGAGCAGGAGCGCGACCGCGGCGGGGTGTGATAGCGCTGGGACAGCAAACACACACAGCTGCAGCAAGGCTTTCTTACACAACTACTGCATCTTTTATATAGAGCATTCTGCAAAGCCTGAGAGAGGCCAGCAGCTCGCCCAGCTTTTGGAAACGTGAAAGGAAGAATCGAGGAAGAGGCCACGGATTCCCTTTTGGAATAACGCAATTACTGCAGATAACCACCCTCGTTTTTAAAGCACAGATGTTTCACTTCAGTCAGACTATTCACGGTTTGCAGGAGCAAAGACAAACCCCATTTCAAAAGTTACTGCTGTTCAACTCTACAGAAATGGGAATCCAAATTAAGTCACTTTAAAGCAATTAAAAAAATAAGAAACTGAACAAAAAAAAAAATCACAAAAAACCCCCAAACTCTTTCATAAAAAAGAGCAATAAAGCTTCACATTTGAAAAATTATGCTTAGGCAGAGCATTTAAGTAGGCAACAAGAGCTACTTGTGCAGCAGAGAAAGAAGAACTCTGCTATTGCTAACTCATTATTTTCCATTACCCAGTGGGATACACACTTAGGTAAATTCTGTGAGGAAATCAGAATCACAGAGATGCTCCTTGACTCAATAAAAGCACATCTGGATTTGACTCAATTATTTTGAGCCACTTATGAAAGCAATAAAATGGGGTAAAAACAGTGTTGTCCCCCAGAATAAACTCACAAAGATGCATGCATTTATTTATCCAGGTAATTACAGAAGGCTTTAAAATATCTTTCTTATATAAAAAACAAAATCAACCTGATATAACCTGAGCTTCCCTATTATTTCAGCTGAAGCAATAACTACATAAAAAACAGCTTTTACAGAAGAATGGCCTTAAAGATTGAAGGGTGTCATGGACCTCCCTGATTCTCACATTTTATATTCTAGAGTCTCGTGGAACCTACAAATCAGTATTTTGAAAAACATCACACCTGGACGGAAACTGTGCTAATAAAGACTAAGAGATGGAAGAAAAATGTGTTTCTCCAACTGCCAGCCCTAAATGACTTCTTTTTTCATTCTTAATTTTGCTGAGAAGGTGCCAAAATGATGGAAAAAAGGACAGAAACGCCAATATCTAGCAGAAGCCAATTCCACTCTGCTTTAAGTTATTTTCCCCCCAAGTCTTTATTTACATAAGTATTTCCAAACATTCCATTTAGGCATTTTGTTCTCCAAACAATCTTTAAGTTAAAAGACAGTAACAGGAAGGATGGAAAAGAAGCTTTATAAAATCAACTACCTGACAGGATTTCAATGCTTTCTAAACTGGATCCTACAACATGTAAATAAAGTGTCACACAAAGCCCTCCAGGGAAATTCAAAGCTCAAAGTTGGAGATGTTACTCTGGGTGAAAGGAAATAAAGAAATAAATAAAATTGTCACATACTATTGTGCCTCTTCCTTTAATTTTCCGTCCAGATTTGGAGACTGATGGTTTCTGGTCAGTCAGAACTGGCGCAGCATCAAGAAGCTTCCTACATAAATTAATAAAGTATGAAGTTACACAGCAAAAAAACCAATTAACTTACAATTAGTTTAAGTTAAACATGAGAAATATTCATCATCTTATTCATTTTCAGACAGAATTCAGTGTTTTTTTCAAGAAACAAAGCAAGAGAGTTCTGCAACAAAAGGCAAATCAACATGTATTTGTTCTCAACCAAATGTGCAGGCTGATCTCTTGACACAGAAATTAATGCTAACAATGAACTTGCAAAACACTGTCACAAGAGGTTAACTTCTGTTTGGGGCACAAATCCTGAAGACAACATGGGCAGAAGAGTTTCAGGATCTCAGTTCAGGATAGTTCACAGGTTCTAAAGCTTTGCTTCTTTCAGCCTATGTAATGTCCCCAAAAGTAGTGAGTAAATCTTTGGGAACTTGAGTGATGTTCCAAGAAAAGACTTACAGGAGACTGTACCATTAAGGGAAAATAAAAAATCCCAACACCAAACAAATCCAACACTGATTTTAGAGCTAATTCACTGTAATGGATTAGCTCAGCTACAAAAGCAATGAAATGTGACAGTGGAGGTACAAAACACATTGAAAGCATCTCATGAACTTGTGACTTCCTTTGTAGCAAAAGAAGAGCATTTTCTCTTATTCTCAAACACTGCTAAAGTCATGAAATTCCAGGGGACTGATTCTGAACCAAAGTTTCTTCATCAGTCTAAGAAAGACAAAAAAAATCACCCCTCCCAGTCCCAAGTTTCCCTTGCAATCAAGTATTTCCTGTGGTTTGCATTGCATGATTACTTCTGAAATTAGTCATTAATTGTTTTTAATTGATTTTAACACCTTAAAGACCAATGAAATCATCTCGAGATCTCACTAAAAACCCCTGGCACGGGTCACAAGGAAAAGAAACTATAAAAAGGCCAATGAAATGACCACATGCAGCAATTCTGACACTGCAGTGAGCAGCACCAGGAAGAGAATGTTAACAGAAATATTTCATGCACAGTTTTCAGCAAGTCAGAATAAAAAGCTCAGAGTTCCTTACGGTTCAGGCTCTACATTGACAACAGGCACATCTCTTCTGAGCAAAAATCTATTTTCAGGCACTGGGGGGATTTCTTCAGGACGTACCACGGGCTTGTCCCGCTTGGTGCTAAGGTCGACTTTGTCTGCGACATCGCTCTTGTCAGAAAGGCTGCTAAGGGAAAGAGCAGGGTGAGAAATCACAGTTAGCTGGGAAAATCCCTTGTCCAACTGGATTCCAGGACAAGATGCATCAAACTTAGAGTTGGCTTAACAACCAAGATGTGTTCCACAACCCATTTTAGGCTAAAGGGAGGATGGCGATTATTACTGGAGAGAAAGTTCAGTTCTTGCTTTACAGTAAGTAACTCTGCTTTTCATTTACAACTTGTTGTGAAATATTTTAAAAGATAATCAAATATATGTACAAAGTTCTGCAATTTGCCTGAAGTCTCACTTTTGCACAGATGTGCTGAGCCCTGAATAGTTTAACGTGCTGGGATTTAATAATTTCAACATCACTCTTGCTTTTATCTACAAAGATCTTCCATTTAATGGAAAATTCAACAAGCTCAACTTCAGGGTTTTTTGTTTATTTATAAAATCATGCACCAAACCCCAAACTTAAAAGCATTTTCATATTTACTGCTTGAGCACTTCATGAAAACAAAGCAGAATTCCCCAGATTTTACTGCAATTGTTAGATTTTTGAGAACAGTCACCGTCTTTGGCTTGAGGTTCGCTTGCACCTTGGCTCCTCCTTCTTCCTCTCCTCCTTCCTTCGTTTCCTGGACTGTTTGGTTTTAGCTTTTCTTTTCCTCTTTTTCCTCCTGCTCCTTTCATTCTCAGCCTCACTCTCAGATGAGGATTCTGAAGAGCTGGATGCACTGGAAGAGGACTCTGAGGCTTCTGAGTCAGAGCAGACTTTCTTCTTCTTCTCCAAAGCTTGAACAGATATTTTCAATTGGCACTGTGCACACGTGTGTGCATGTAAAAGCACAAAGCACACCATTTCATAGATGTATATACAAATGGGCCATTTTAGAAAAGCTCTGTGAACTTTTTCACAATATCAAAGAATCAAAAATTCGTCTGATTGTGCCCAGTCTAAATCCATGTTGGTATTATACACATATTTTCCAGCAAAGACAGAATATGCAGATAAGCAAAGACCACTTATAGTAAAAAAATTAGGTACTTTTAGAAACAATGCACAGGTTGCAAACCAAAGATTAAGAATAAATTCATTGCTGGCCCAGTTGTATATTTTTTTATTTTTAAAACTTTATTATTTTCTGTTTTGTGCATCCTCACACTTTCACACTAGAGCTCCTCTTGACTTTCTCTAAAGGACATAAATTACCACCTTATCCTAAGGAAAATCAGAAATTATATAGAAATGCAAACTTACAACACTCCACTAATTCACAGAGACTGTCAAAACATGCATTTAAGATCATTTATTCTCTATGAATCTTCATGAAAAGAAAAATAAACTTGACCACATATATTGCATATATTGACTTCACAGAATCTTAAAATAAACATTTTGAGAGTGCACAAAATTCAACTTTAAGAAAAGCATATTTGTGTCTCCCTCTTTCTAACACAGAAAAATAACTTTTCATTCCTTTTTGAGTTTGCCATGTCCCATGTCAACCTCTAACATGAACAGGGGACAAATGTTGAGAGCAGAAAATATTTTTTTTGCTGTGCCTTCCTCTCCTACACCAAGATTTATGTTTTACAGGCTCGCAAGAATTAATTAAGATTCTACATGTCTACCATAATGATTTTTAGCTGTTGGTGGAATTGTACTCTCTGAGAACATGAGTGTTGGATAAAGCCCTTTGCGACCCACTCATTTCTGTTTAGACTTCTGATACATCATCACCTATCTTATTTTTCAAATCTAAGTGATTCCAGTCCCTCCTGCTCGGGGGGAAATCCCCGAGCTCCCAGGGTCACACTGGTACAATTATATTGATTAAACTCCAGCAGACCTTGAGCTCTTCCCTATTTGCTTCAAGAATGGACGAGCCACCCTGAAACCCACGAAGAACAAAAGGAACTCTGTCATTCACCAGGTTCTGGAGCACAGCAAGAAGAGAGATCAGGAACAGCTCCTGGGAGGGGGATGCTGGATTATTCCCTTTTCTGACCCAGAGCTGGGGCAACTGAGAGGTGTTTTAAACACTTTTATTCCATTTTCAGTTTCATGAGAAGGGTGAGACGATAGAGATGTTATAATTCACACCATCACAATCAGAAGCCAACTATTTCCTAATTACAATACATTATAAAAGTTTCTTGGTCTATCAGCTTTAGCCACACCATGCTGAAAATGCCTTAAATCATCTAAAATTACCCCTCATGGATCCTACTGCAATGCATCTTTCCTAGTTCTATTTCTCCAAAGTATCCAGTTTTATTTGCAAGGCCATCCTTTGAAGCTTGTTCCTGGTTCCATTTCTCTCTCAGCAATGTCTGTCCATTCCATGGCATTTCCAAGTCAGCATTTCTCATCTCAAGGTTTGCACAGAGATGCACACACTGTGTGAGCCTTCTGTCAGGCTTTGAGAATTCCCCACAAACTCATTTCTCCATACATAAACATCACTAATTTGGGAATGCTGAATTAAAGAAGAATTCAGGGAACTCACCATCTTTAGCTGACCTGGTGACCAGCACCCCGCAGTCAATGACTCGCACGTCTGCGTAGGGCCTGCTGGCAGTATCAGTTTTGAGATTTTCTATCTGTTCTATGACTTCAAACCCAGAAATAACCAGTCCAAAGACAACGTGCACACTGCAGAAAGGAAGTATTTACAAATCACAAAATGTGAACCGCTGTGATGATTTTCAAATTAATTTCACATTTAAAAAGTCAGTCTGAGATAGAAACATTGAGCTCTTAATGCATTAAGTTTTTTTTATGGTTTTAAGTTTAGCATTGACAACAATGCTAAGATTTTATGCAATGTGAAACAAAGATCCACTCTGACATCAAGTATTTCCCTCAAACTGAAGCAGTCTCATCTCCTCAACAAGGGCAGAGTAAACAGATTAAAATTCCTAACCCACCCTTCTATTTTTGCAGTTTTGTGCAATAGAGATCAAGAGCCCATCTATAAACATGACAGAACTCTTCCCCAGAGAAGCAGAATTTATAGATCTCTACAAACCCAGGATACAATTCCCCCCTGGCATTGCAGGGACAGTTAAAATAAAGGAATCCTTGGTTTTGTTCTATGGTACCACATTTCTCTTTCTGTCTTCCATTTGCCCCATAAATTTTAGGGATTAAAAACAAGCCCCAAAAGAGATGACTGCTCAAATATATTAAATTTGGCAATTCAGCTCCCAGATTTATGGGCTGAAGGCAGCAAGCAGTTTTAAAGAAATAATCCTAGGATTTAAGGCAATTCAAGTTTTTGTCCTGCTTTAGGAAATAAGTTGCAACTTGAAATTTTTATAGAACTGAAACTATTGTTTTCCATCTCATCCCATTGTATAATTTCCACAGAGTTAAGGATTTGTTTCCCCATTGTTGTCTACTTTCAATATAACCCTCAAATTTCAGCAATCATTTGAGAAATTGGAAAGGATTCTTACCCATCGAGATGAGGAGCAGGTTTTGTTGTTCTGTTGGACAAACAGCAAGATGGGAAGATGGTAAAATAAAATAAAATCAGGGATTCAGATGAAGTAAAAGAGGAGAATGACACAGAAAAAAAAAAAAAAGAGAGGTGAAGGTAAGACAAAAATAGTGAAAAAACACAGTTAAATACATGGAATTAACAAATTAAAATTACAGATTATACATACAGGCTTTCTTAAACTTTTACATGGTGTTTGTTTGAAGTTTAGCTAAGTGTGCATACTGAAAGCTGTACCAAGTA